GACAGAAAAGCTATTGGGCTGCTGGGGATATAGCTCAGCAGCATAAGCGCTTTCCTGGTCAGCACAAAGGCCCAAGTTTGATCCCTGGTAACGCAAAAGAAAAAAGAAAGAAAGGCTGCAGAGCTAGTGTCTGTGGGGCTCACTGGTCTCTCGGTGTACCACTGCCTAGGGGTACTTGGGGTACTTTATTTATACTTTCGCAAAGTTAGTATCACAAGACACAGGGTTGCCTAGCAACTGATACCTGAAATTGCCCAGACAGGATGTTTTTCTCAAGACTGAGATGCCTTGAATACTTGAGGCAGCAGAGGCCTTCTCCTGCCCCCCAACACATGATCAGCGTCCAACTTCAATAACCCCAACAAGTATCCTCTACCCAGCTCTCTCCACTGTGCCCATCTTACCTTTCCCTCGTGTCAGCGCTGCTGTGTGGGCACCCACACACAGGACCACACTGGGGAAGTGAGGAGTCCCTCTGGGCCAGGATGGAAGGGGGACCCAGCTGCCTCTCAGCCTGCCGGGTCCTCTGCCCCACAGACTGCAGAGCTGATGCTGCAGTGTGCTGAACAGCGTCTCCAGGAAGACAGGGCCATGAAGGAGCTGGTGGAGCAGGTGGCAGAGGCGCAGAAGAACGTCCAGGTGGCTCAGATGAAGCTGGTGAAGAGCCGGCGGCAAACAGGTAGAGCAGGAGCTAGGGCCTAGCTCTGCGGCCCCTGCTTGGGCCCTGGGCTGCTACCGGTACCAGCTGCTGTCCCTAGAGGGCAGGCTAGGACACTGGCTGGGAGGAGAAGCCTGCCCCATGCAGGACCCCTTGGGGTTCCCTCAGCACTCCACCTGGTCTCCAAGTCCAGGCGATGATTGAGGAGAGCCGGGAGCTGCTGCTGCGCAGGCTGAAGGCGGCTGAGGAGGAGCAGAGGCAGCGCTGTGAGCTCATCTCCCAGCTGCGTGCACTGGAGACGCAGCCCTCACGCAAGGGCAAGCTGGTGGACCTAACCCAGGTGGGCTGCTGGCAAGTAAGGCTCTGAGCCAGGTCTCTGAAAGGGCCAGGGGCCAGGACTGAGGTGACCAGGTAGGCTTCAGAGAGGCCACCAGGACACTTGAGTGTCCAGGGGCCCAGAGATGCCCTGGTTTGATCTGGGAAGGACAGCTGGGAAGAGCACAGTTCAGATGTCTGAACTGGCTGGATAGAGCCAGGACTAAGGGGGTGACTCCCAGAAGGCAGGTTGTGTGAGAAAGCAGAAGGGGCCAGGCTGCAGGGCAAGGCCAGACCTGGGTGGCCTGGGCAGCTGGCCGTGGGGCCTGACCTGGCCCCCAAGGTGAGGGGCACCCAGCGGAGGTGTCCCTGAGCCCCCAAGCTGGAGAAGCAGGATGTACAGGGAACTCCCTGTTGCACGCCTGTCAGCTTGGGCCCGGCTCCACAGATCCACGGGTATGGCCTAGAAGGAGAGATGTCTGTAGTAGAGCTGCGGGAGAGGCTGACCCTGCTCAAGGAGACGCGCAAGCGTGAGGAGGCCGAGAGGCGGGATCAGATCATCCAGGACAAGCGCACCAAGAGTGAGGAGCTTCGGAACACACTGGAGCAGATATCCTTGTGCCGCATGGCTGTGGGCAGAACCGCGGCCCTGAGGTGGGTTCCCGGGGACGGGAAAGGCACCCTCTGCCAGGCAAGTCCCTGGCCACAGCATCCTCAACCTCCGACTTTAGTAGATGGCTTCAGCACACCTACTGAAAACAAAAGCTCTCATGCTCATGACCCAGATGCAATTACTTGGCACCTAGGTCATGGGGACAGCCTTTGTCACATGTGACCTGGGTAACCAGCCAGCAGCTTATCTGCCTGCAGAGCCATTTGAAAATAGCTGCAGGCGTCAGATGCTTCCTCCCCGAACAGCCTAGTGTGCACCTTCTAAAAAAAGATTGTCCTATATAACCCCAGCACCATGACCCTGCTAGGAAAGGTAACAAAAATCCCCACCTCATCTAAGTACCCGCTCCATAGTCACATTTCTCCAGCACCTCCGAGACTGTTAAAACTTCTTAAAGATTCGCTATGGCTGGATCTGGCCAGGTGTGGTGGTAGACGCCTGTAATCCCAGCACTTGGGAGGATGAGGCAGGAGGATCACTATGAGTTCAAGACCAGCCTGAACTACATATCCAGACCCTGTCTCGAAAAACAAACACCCAGATCCTGGACCATACTTCAACACACACACACACACACACACACACACACACACCCCTGATGATTTGTTTTGGGGACAGTGTGGTAACTTTTCTCCAGCCCCAGGTAGTTGTCCAATAGTGCTGGGTCAGGCACAGGGAGGTGTCCATCCATCTCCCTCCCAGGGGTTACAGTGGCCCTTGGGCCTCCCCTTGATCCCCAGGAGGCACCCAAGCCCTCCTGCACTGGATCAGAGCCTCCTGCGCTCCACTGAGTCAGGAGTGGAGCTAGGTGGAGTGAGCCAGGCCTTCTTGGTCCTGGAACCCTCTGCTCCAGTGGCAGTAGGGAGGAGTCTTAGGTTGGGCCCACCACAGACCGGAAAATCAAGAGCAGACTGGCTGGTATCAGGCTGCCTCCAAGGGCCAGGCCCCCACTCAATGTCAGGGTCTGGAGAGTCAGCCAGAGCGTGGGTTTGTGGGTGGTACAGGTGCATAGGCCCGGTGCTGTGACAGCGACTTTTTTTTTTGCAGGCCTTTGCGCTTGCAAGGCAAGCGCTTATTCTACTGAGCTATCTCCCAGGCCCCTAACTTTCAAGAGGCCTGGAGAGGGGGTAGTGACAGGACAAGAAGTGAAGATGCCTCTCTTAAGTCATCCCCAGGCAGGAGCGGCCTGGGGAGTGAGATAAAAGGGGTGTCCACGTAACACATAGTTAGCACACATGGAATGCTGGCTTTGAGGTTAATTTTATAAAGCAGGGTTCTCTGGCACACACCTGTAATAGCAGCACTCTGGAAGGCCGAGGCAGGAGGATTGTAAGTTTGAGTCCCACATGAATAACTTACAAGATCCTGTCCCACAATAAAAATGGGCTAGGGACATAGCACCCTCCTAGGGAACCCCGGGTCCCCCTCCCGTTCCCCAGTAGCACGGGGGGGGGGGAACACTAGGTGAAAAGCCTGAAAGGGTAGAGGCACAGGGAGAAGCCCGGCCTCTCTAAACGCACGCTCCCGCCAGGTGGGAGCGCAAGAAGGCAGGGGCGGCTGCCCCAGCCACAGACGAGCGCGTGCTGGAGCTGAGGCGCAAGATCGCAGCTAGGGCAGCCGAACGCCTTGGGCACACCGCCCCGCCGTACGTGCCGGCGCCCCGGACCGCGCGCCCTCAGCCCCGAGTGAGCAGGCGGCCCCGGGAGCAGCGACCCAGGGAGCAGGAGCGGGTGGCTGGGCTCAGGGCGCGTCCCGCCCACAACAACCGCAGGCCGCCCACCCGCAGGCGCAGCTGGAGGCGCAGCACTGGCAAGAGCTGGAGAGGAGCCGCGAGCACAAGGTGCGGGGGAACAAGGGGCCCGCGCGCCGCCTGGAGGCCGCCTAAGTTTCCCGCAGGGCTGCCCGGGAAACGGCCGGACGCCGGGGCGCAGAGCGCGAGAAGCACGCCCTCTGCACCGCTCCTCCCGGGATCCACCCTTCACTGGCGCCTGGAGTCTCCACGCGCCGAACTCGGCGAACTCGGCCGTTGCGGCCCAGATCCGAATCCTCCGCGGTGCCCGCGCCCTCTGTGGATGTGGAATCGCGATCCCCACCCCAACCCCAGCCGGACCCCCGCCTGGGGAACGCCAAGCCGGGCTGCCTGAGCGCGCATATGCGCACCTCGGGCTGGCCCTTCCCACGTCTGGTTTCCTGGAACCCTCTGTGACGCGGAGCGCTTGGGAGCTGTCGCCCTTTCCAGTGCTGCGAACAATGCCACCGGTGCTCAAAACTGGTGACCTCCCCAGAGCGCCAAGTCCAAGCGCGGGGGGGGGTGGGGGGGGAGTTCCCAGAGCCCCCTTCAGCATCACTGCAGAGCCCGAATCCGGCGCTGTTGGGGCCACTGGGACATCCGCCGGCCAGGGCAGGGACGGGGCGGACTTCTTCCAGGGTTACCTAGACCCCGCGCTGAGTTGGGGGGCTGCGGCCTTGGTAGTGAAAGCAGGCAGGTCTTCTGGATGGGGTGTAAGGGCAGGTCTGAAGACTGCAGAGGGCGAAGTCAGGGAGAGGGACACCTGCTCCAGCGTCGTCCTGGATCTGGGCAGATGACATCTCGGGGGGCAGGCTAGGCCCAGAGGACTTTGATACTAGGTGGTGGGCATCTCGGGGTCCTGCTGCAATATTCCAAATTGTACCAGAACCTCTCAGGTCTTTCCTACAACCCCGGTGGGCCAGGAGAGGAATTCGCATCTCACTGTTGAATCAGAGATGGGAGCAGATAAACTTTCATTTAAGGAAGTAAAAATAACATTTCTTGTAACCTATGTTGTATGATTGAAACCCATTTCATTTCACTTGACTGGATGTGTTGCAGGTCAGTGGTGCAGAGGGGGTCCCTCTGGAGCTCCTGAGGGTTTCAGAGGGATTAAAGTGCCAGCAAGCCAAGTGCAGGGTGATCTCAGGATGGGCCTGATGCAGGAGCAAACAGGGCCTTCTGCTGGAAACAGTTCCAGCCCCGAGGACGTGGAAGCACTCTAGTGTCAGGGGCTTGACTTAATGTGCTGGTATTGCACCAGCTTTCTGGTAAGGCAGGTCTGCACAGCTCTCCGATTAGGCCACCTGGGGACAGTGTCAGGGGACAGAGGGGACAGTGCAGTGTGCTAAGCAGTGGTGCTGGTTGGCAGTCAGCAAGTCCCCTTTTCCATCCAGTATTCACCTGACAGCATCTCGGGTCGTCTGCTCTCTACCACCGTAGGTGGGAGCAAGCGCCGGACTCTTCCCCTGGAGCCATGGCCTGGGAGGGTAGGCACTGTGGATCCCTCAGCTCTTCTGTCCCTGAGACACAGTACCTGACATCCACTACTAAAAGGAAATATATGGTTTATACCTAGATGTCTCTCCAAAGCCTCATCCGCTCACGGTTGGAGCTTTTAGGTGACCGAGTTATGGGGTGCTGTAGCTGACTAGCTGTTAGGAAGGAGGTAAGGTCCGGTGAGAAGAGATAGGTTACTGGGGTTACACCTGGAAGAGTTTACTTCTCTTAAAAAAAAAATTGGTATTTTATTTGTTTGGAACAGGGTCTTGCTACACAGCCTGGGACCAGCATAGCATGTGGTATGAAGGACTGAACCCAGGTCCTTGCACTTGCCAGGCAGGCACTTAGACGGCTGAGCTATCTCTCTAGCCTGAGTTTACCTCTGCCCAGCTCCTCTTCTCTTTCCTTTTTTTTTTAATGTTATTAGTTTTATTTTTAAATTTTCACAAGTATATTTTCATTATTAAAAAGCAGACCAAAAAGTCATCTACGAACAGTTCGTAATCACTTAATGTTCATTATCTGTATATGTCTCATACAAAAACCAAAATGACTCAGCAGCAGATTGTTAGCGTTTTTCCATGCAATAAACCTACTTCACCCACACCCTTATAAGTGGCGGCAGTCTCCCCTCCCCTCTTCTCTTTCTTTTGTTTTGACAGGCTTGGATGAAGCTCAGGCTAGCCTTGAACTCACTTTGTAACCCAGACTGGTCTCCAGCTCATATTGATCCTCCTGCCTCAGCCTCCTCCCCAGGGCTGGGGTTACAGGTGTGTGCTGCCAGGCCCAGCAACACGGTATTTCACTACAGCAGGAGAGGGGGGTTAGCCGCCGGGTGGCCGCGTGTTCTGTGTTGTTAAGAGAGGGAGTCTCACCAGGTAGTTCAGGCTCACTCTGCATGTCCGAACGTTAGGTTTGTCACACTCCACCTCCAGTAAGGCCAGCTGTCTTGTGTGAGTCTGGCCCACCACATCACCTCTTGCTTGGGTTGCCTGCCTCAGTCTTCAGACAACAGAGCGAGGCTGAGACAAGATGGACCATCCGCAGAGCTTGTGCCCAGTGTCTCCCACTCTGTTAGTGGATGACGACTTCCAAGGTACACTGACCCTCGCCCCCTATACGAGATTCCTGCTGCCGCTGAGTTAGAACACTCCAGCATGCACTGGGAGGCTGAAGCAGGAAGATCACCGTGAGTTCAAGGCCAGCAGAGAGTACACAGTGAGACCCTGCCTCAAAAAACAAATTACTACAGAAGGGGCTGTGACAGGGCAGGAAGATGAGACGCTGCCTCCACAAGAGCGCGTGCGCACTCCCGCGGACCAGGGCTAGGGCGGTGCTGGGGGCCAGGCCATTGCCAAGTTAGGTTGCTGGCTCCAAATGCATATTTTTTTACTCTCTTATCTTCCTTTTTCCTACTCTCCATATTCTTTTATGTCCTTCCCTTGTCTCACTTCCTCACTGTGACACTAAGAACACATGGAGACAGGAGCGACCCTGAGAGATCGCTTTGCTTTTTTTTTTTTTTTTTTTTTTGTGGTACCCGGGATTGAACTCAGGACCCTGCACTTGCCAGGCAAATGCTTATTCTATTGAGCTGTCTCCCCGGGCCCTCTTTGCTTCTTATACTGGACATGAGCAGCTTTCCACTGCCGTGCTCTTTCATCATGCCTTGGAGTCACTGGGTTATGGACTAAACCCTTGTCTCCTCTTATGTTCAGGTGTTTAGTATTGTGTCCAGTGACCAGCAGAGTGATTAACACAGAAGAGGTTTACTTGACTCATGGTTTCAGGATCCAGTCCGTGGTCTGCGGGCTCCAAGGCATGAGTGTGCTTAATCCATTGTGGCCAGGAGGAAGGGGTTCAGCCCTATGTATAGTCCTCAAAATCAGGCCTCCTTGACTCACCGTTACACACTGGGGGGGGGGGCATTCTACTAATGTGCTAGGCATTTATCTTTTTTTTTGGGGTGGGGGTTTGAGACAGGATCTCACCTTGTGGTTCAGGTTGGCCTTAAATTTCTTATGTAGCCCAGCCTGGCTTCCAAATCACAGGGATCCTCCTTCCTCAGCCTCCCAAGTGCTGGGATTACAGGTGTGCACCACCATGCCAGGCTGTGCTGACATTTTTTAATTCAATGAAGTTGATTTATCAGGATTAATGGTAATACAGTACCTAGAGTGATGGCAAACTATCTCCCTGTAGCCGCATTGTGACTGTATACCTCCCCTCAAGAGGTCTGTGTTCTCGAGCCCCTGAACCTGGTCTGACTCCTTGACTCTTTGGCTGGCACTGTGGTAGAAGTGGCTGTCAGTTCAGAGTTTGGGCCTCAGGGTCGTCTCACTTGGTCTCTTAGAAACACGCCCAGTACTATGAGCATGATCAGACACTTGCCAGCATGAAACAGCAAGCAAAGGAGAGCCCATTGTCCCCAGGCCATCCTGGACCACGGCACAATCATCCGGCACCAGCATGTGAAGCCAGCCAGGACCAGAACTGCACCAACACCAACACATGAGAGCAGGGGTCTTTGCTTGGGGCTCTCTGCCTCAGTCCCCATGAGAACCATCTGAAAAGAATCAGGCTGGCCCACTGGTTTTTTCTGGACCTTTCTCTGCTGGACAACTGGGGAACAGTGCTTCTGCCCGAGCTGCCAGTGCTACAAGCCCCACACTGGCATTTGGGGACACTTCCAGCAGGGGCTCTTCACTCAAGATTCATACATCCCACCCCCAAGAGTCCTGCAGCTGGTGTGAGGCCCAGGAGCCTGCGTGTGGCTGGCTCCCATGTGGGCTAAGGTCCTGGCTGCCCTTTACGTCGGGGATGGGGCCTGGGGGATCACCTGAGCATCAAAGGAGGCCAAGAAGGCTCGCGTACCTTTTAGTTGCCATCAGCGCTATTTTCCAATGTTCTGCCTTCAGTGGGCTAAAATTAAAGAAAGTCCTGGGGCCGGGGAGATGGCTCAGTAGAATAAGCGCTTCCCTGGCAAGTGCAAGGACCTGAGTTCAATCCCCAGTTCTGCAAAAATAAATAAATAAATAAATAAATAAATAAAGTCCTAACTTTTCCTTAAGCTGTGAGATGCAAATTACTAACAGTACTCTATTTACAAATTTGGTCTTTTCTGTTTTGTTTTTCTCAATACTGAGAACTCAGGGCCTCATGAATATTATGTACTGTACCACTGAGCTGTATCTCTAGCCCTTTTAAAAATATTTGGATAAAGAAATAAAAATTACATTTGGAATAGCTCGGAGGTTCAGGCCAGCCTTGAATTATGCTTGTCTGCCGCAGCGCTCCAAGTAGCTCAGGTAACTAGTCATGGTCATTATTTTAATTAGTTATAGAAGGCCCCATTCCCCCCTTAAACATTTTAAACCTTATTTATACATGTGTGAGGCGAACACGATAACCACTACACTATGGAAACTTTGTACATCTGGAAGTTTAATTTTACTTCTTAGTCTGCATCTTGTACTATGAATAACTACGAAGACAACAATATGTAGTGTATTAACTTTTGAAACTGTCCTACTAATCAGTTTTGAAACTCTCATTGCTATTTGTTTCTCAATAAAATTATTTTTAAAGATTAAAAAAACATAATTTTACTTTTCATCCTTTCAGTTGTCTGCCTTATCAAGTACTTAAGTATTTTCAAAGCTTTTTTTTTCTTTTTTTTCTGGAACCAGGGATAGAACTCATGTTTATATTCTTTTTGCTGTTGTTGTTGGTACTGGGAATTGAACTCAGCCTTGCACTTGTCAGGCAGGTGCTGTGCAGCTGAGCTACATTCCTGGCCCTATTTTTCTCCTAAATGTGTTCACAGACAAGATCGGGCACATTCAGGGTGGTATGGCCGTAGACTTAAATGTGGTCACAGAATCTAAAAACTCTTAACTTTCAACTTAAAATCACTACCAAAATCAAATGTTCAAACATATATTTGATCTTGGAACCAGGTTTTGTACCTACCATGCCAAAATCCCTAACAGAATATCAAATACAGAGACAGTACAGCCAAGCATGGTGGCCCATGCCTGTGATCCTAGCACTCTACGAGGCTGAGGCTGGAAGACTGAAATTTCAAGGTCAGATTGGGCAATTTAGTGACACAGAAAATCCAGACTCAATAAATAAATAAAGAAAAGAGCTGGGGGCATAGCGTGGTGTGAAGGCCCTAGTTTCAGTTCCCTGCACTGCAAAACGAAACAACACTCTGATTTTTTTTTTTTTAAACCGGGGATTGAACGCAGGCCCTTGCGCTTGTCAGTCAAGTCCTTTTTTTTTTTTTTTTTTTTTTTTTTTTATAGACAGGGTCTTGCTATTGTAATGCCTGGGGAAGGTTGAACACCATGCCATGATGCTATGTTGTGTAGGGGTGGATGTCACATCACTGCTCTTCTGGAATATGCAGTAAAGAATTATGGGCTGGCCAAATAGCTCAGCAGATTAAGATGCAGGCGCAGGGGCTGGGGGTTCGATCCCCAGGCCTGTGGTGCCAGCCCTTGGGAGGCTGTAAACAGAAGGACCACTATGAGTCTGGTCTAGTAGTGAGACTTGGAACACCCTGTAGACCCTTCCCTAAAAATAAAAAAAAAAATAAAATAAATTGAAGTTGCCAGGCGTGGTGACACATTTGTAAAGCCTGGGAGACTGAGGGATGTGTCCAGTTTGAGGCCAGCATTAGTTACATGGTGAGTTCAAGACCAGTTTAAAATTTAAAAAATAGCAGCTGACTTGGTGGTGCATGCCTCTGCAATGCCTGCACTCACGCAGCCGAGGGATCGTTGGGTCTGAGGCCCACCTGGGCAACAAAGTGAGTTCAAGGCCAGTCTGAAGGATTTTCTTTTTTTTTTGGCTGGCTCAGCCTGCCTTAAGGGCAGGTCTGGTAAGGCAGGTGGATGTGGGGTTTGGTTTGAACCTTGGTATCCTGAGCCTGATTACATTTGCATGAGTAGGCACTTAAACAACTGAGCTAACCAGCAGGCCCCTTCCCCAAGGGTAGTCTGAACTGCAGAGTGAAACCCTGTCTCAAAAAGAAAAAAACATAAAAAATTAAAAAAATAAAAAGATGACTTTTTAAAAATGTATTTGGTACAGGGTATCACTACATAGCTCAGACTGGGTCTTCCCAGCACTGGAATTACAGGTGTGGGCCACCATGCCCAGTCTAGGTCACTGGCTTAGTGTACCCTGGGGGCAGGGCCAATGTGGCATGTGGCGCTGGGGACTGAACCTTGGTCACTGTGCTTACCTAAATAGGCCCTTACAAAGATGACTTATTTGAAGATGGGGAAGGAGAAAGAGATGGACAGTTACTCCGTACAAGTAGGGAGAATTCAAAAGTGAAGCGTCTCAGGCGTGCACACCGGCAAGCCTAGCACTGGGGGGCTGAGACAGGAGTATCACTTCGAGTCCGAGCTACAAAGTGAGACCCTGTACCAAATAAATAAAAGATTAAAAAAATAAAAATGATACAGCATTTCAAAACAAGGTGGTAGGAAATTAACAATGGCTATTATATTGTATATTGTTATCTTCAAAGTAATTGCTCAGATTACCAGCTATAGGTATGGAAAAATCAATCAAATATAAGCATTAACTGTTCCTTTCAATGAATAGAAATTAGTATTACAATTATCTTAGCTATCTTGTGTATATTTTTGTATTTTTCTTTCTCCTTTTTTCTGTGGTTCTTTCCTTCTGAGCAGTTTCTTTCCCTTTCATAACATCTACTGTACCTTTTGGATTTTTTTTTTTTTTCCTGGTACTGGGGATAGAACTCAGGATCTTGTGCTTGCCAGACAGGTGGTTAAGCCACTGAGCTATCTCCCCAGAGATCCTTTTGGATCTTATTTGCTCTTTCAGTTTGAGATCCCTTTGGATCTTACTCTTTCAGTTTCTCACACTAGAGAGACAATGCAATGTTTACATGAGTCTGATTTATGCTACTTTCGAGTCTCTAGTTGCATCCATCTACCTATAAAAGACTTAAGTTTATCTTTATAGCTGAGCAGTACTCCAACATATAAAGGCATCACATCTTTTTGATCCTTCCTTGGTGGGCATCTAGGCTGTTTCCAAGTCTTAGCTATGACAAATTGTACTATAAACAGGAGTGCGTATATACTGCTGAATATACACTTCTCAGACGAAGAAATACAAACAGCAAATAAATATATGAAAAAAATGTTCAACATCATTTTCATTCATGAAATGCAAGTTAAAACAACACAGATTCTATCTCAGCCCACAAACAATGGCTATCAAGAAATCAACCAAAACAAATGCTGGTGGGGCTGTGGGGGAAAAAGGAACCTTTCTTCACTGTTAGTGGGAATGGGAATGCAGACTGGTTCAACCACTGTGGAAATCAGTGAAGAGACTTCTAAAAAAACTAGGATTAAAAAACAAAAATCTAGGATTAGCGGTCCCATTTAACCTAGCTATTGCCCTGCTATTTTTCCAGAAGACTTTTTTTTTTTAATTTAAAGAGAATACAAAAGAAAAAAAGAACATTACAAATGATACAGGTGGGCAAGATGGCAGCCTAGCGATTTAATGAAAGAGCACATCAGGTATACAAGAGTGCTGAAAACGGAATGAAAATTGGTGCCTAGAAACAGATTTTTTTTTTTCTTTTTTTCTTTTTTTTTTTTTTGCGGAACCGGGATTGAACTCAGACCCTTGCGCTTGCCAGGGAAGCACTTACTACTGAGCTATTCCCCGGCCCCACTAGAGGCAGATTTTAAAGGCAGTTTCTCCCACATCTTTTTTCATATCACCTGATAAGCTTCTTCCTGTACTATGTACTATGACAGTGGCAGCAGCAGTAAAATGGGCAGTATCAAGGACAGCTGTCTTGAAGCATTTATTTGCAATCCAAAATGGGGCTTTAGCTCCTGTTTGCTGTAAATCTTCACATTCTTCTCTTCCAGATGACTATAATTGCAAAGTAGAGCTTGCTCTGACATCTGATGGAAGGACAATAGTATGCTACCACCTTTCTGTGGACATTCCATATGAACACACAGACCTGCCTCAACCAGATCCCGTCCAGAATATTGAAGAAACACATAATCAAGTGCTGAAAACCAGATTAGAAGAAAATGAAAGTGAAAGCCTTGAGCAAGGACCCATGACAGAACAACTTAGCAAAACGTTCTTTAGGACAAAGCATTGTTGATATCCTCGCAGGCAGTATCACAGACGTCGTAGGAAACTGAATCCTCCAAAAGACAGGTGATATTGAGATTCATGCGAGAATCAAAGAGAAATGTTACCCGTACTTAGTTTACCACTGGAAGAAATACACCAATACTATATGGTACTAGTCAAATAATGTCTTTTCACATACAAAAAAGAAAAAAATGATACAGAACTTCACCAAACAATAGTTTTATTAACTTTCAATAAAGCTCAATGAGGCCTTCATCCTATCTCCCTACATTATGAGTGAGGCTGGGAGAGTGGTGGGATTACAGGCATGGGCTACCAAGCCCAGCTCAACGCTCTGGTTCTGATTTGCTGTCATTCCATATAACTCAGTCTTCCAGGGTAAAACCCCAACCTAAGAAGAAACCCATCCCACATACATTGCCTAGGGATCTAGGGTATCAGAGGGGACGTCCACAAGTAGGTCTCCATTTTTTTTTTTAGCACAAAAGAATAACTCCCCCCATACTAAATCCACGTCCAAATCCTGCTTGGGGGCCAAAACTGAAGAAACCTATATCCAGCTCTCTAGTTTGATTCTGGTCTGATGCCCAAACAGGCCTATGGCTGACCTGCCTTTCAAATGCTTCCTTTGAGATGTCTCCCCAACACTGGTGAAGGAAACCCTGAAATCTGCCTAAGTGGTGGGGCTAGCTTCAAACTCAAGCAGGAGGGCTTTGGAACCCAACTCTCTGAACCCTAGGAGTTGCAAGAACTGCCTCGGAGGGTCGGCGAAATAGTTCATCGGCCAAAGCGCAAGCGCAGGGGCCAGGGTTCGATCCCTGGCACCACAAGTCGCGCCGGCTTCGTCCCCCACTCCACCCCCAGGCGCAATGAACCGGCAACGGAGTCCGGGCGTGGTGGCGGACTCCAATCCCAGCACTAGGGAGGTTGAGAACAAGAGCATCGCTGTGAGTCCAAGCTGCGCGCGCGCGAGCTCCAGAGCGCCACGCCTCTGCTTACCCACAGCCCTTCCCCAGGTCATTCTTTCGGTGCGGATACCCACTGGCTGTCGGGGCACGATCTGGACTTAGCAGGCGACTCGGCACGCGGGCACGCTCCGGAGCAGCCAGCTGGACGTGTCCACCCTTCTCCCAGGCTCCAGCATCCCCGTGCGACGCCGCTCCCAGCCCGGATCCCTCCCAGGTCTGGGCTCCGGCCCCCACTGATAGTGGAGAGGGGCGGTGCCCCCAGATCTCCTCCAACCATTCGTCTGCAAGGGCTGGCACACGGGGTGTCCGGCAAATCATCAGAGACCCCGGGCCGCGAAGCCATTTCCTCACAAAGGCCTCGGTGACAGGCGAAGAAAACTAAACCTTGGAGAGCGGCACTGCCTGGCTGGCAGCAACGCACGTTCCTTTTCACGCCGCCGGCCGTCAAGAACAGCAGCTCAGCCTCCCAAGACCGCAGCCCAGCTGCGAGGGGCCAGCCCGCCGCAGGCGGCGTTAGCGCAGCTGAAGACACGACTCCCGAGAACCCTTGCGGGCGGAGCGGCCCCGAGGGCGTTCTCGCCGGAAGTGCCCGCGCGGGCGCAGGAGCGTGGGCGGGACCGGAAGGCGTGCATTTCAAAGCGGTGATAGACGGCTTTCCTATCCAATAGAGTTGAAAATACGGCTCCTTCGCCTGTGGGCCACGGACTGAGGGGCGGAGGCGGCCAATCGGAACTCCTGAGGGCGAGGCAGACGCGTGCGGAGCGGAAGTAGGTTGCTTTGAGGCGGCGGAGTCTTGCTTGAGCGGGTCTCCTCGGCGGCTCGCGGAGCTCTTCCCTCGCACTAGCAGCTTGGCGACGGCAGCCAGGTAAGCTCCAGTGAAGGGCGACCCTCGTGGGGAAGCAGCTGTGCGTCCGGGCGTGAGGAGGCGGGCTTCGGGCGGTTTCGAGGCCTTCTGTGGCCGCGGCGCCCGCCTAGCGCGGCTCTGACGCGCTCGAACCCCGCGCCCGAGCTGGGCCTCCCGAGCCTTGAGCCGGCTCCACCCCCTCCGCCGTCTGCGCGGATGCCCTGCCCGGCGAGGCCGGCCCGGCGCTGGAGTCTCAGGTGCGGAGGCCGCCTTCTGGAGCGGGGCTCTGGTCCGCGGGCCTGCGTCCGCCGCCGAAGGAGGAAACTGAGGCCAGGGGAGCGGAGGGACGCGCCCAAGGTCACGGGAAGAGCCCGGCCGGGCGGGCAGTTCGCGGGGAGGCCTAGGCAAGCTCATTTACTTCCCGATGACGGTGCCTTCTTTGTGTGCCCGCGCCGCCACCCCGCCGTCAAGGGCCGCGTGGCGGGGCCGTTCTGCGACGGAAGCTGCCGGGACCCGGGCAGGCCCGGCTGCGGGAGCTGAGTGGGCCCGCAGCCCCAGACCCTGGCGGGGTGAGGGCCTTGGGGCTCGCCCCCAGAGCACCGGTGTACGTGTGTAGGACGGTCCGTGCCCGGTGCACTCCAGTTGCCCTCCTTTGGACCCTGCCCTGGAGAAGCGAAAGGCAGAGCTGGACCAGCCATGTTTGTGGGTATTTCAGCCCTTGTCTGGTCTTGTCGGTCCTCGTGGCCCCTCGCAGTTTTTACTTAGAATCCGCTTCTCCACTCTTGAGCCATACGCTCAGTTGAGGCTTCCCGAGTTCGGGAGACAGGCCCAAGATCGTACAACCAGCTAGGTCGCCAGATTATTCTAGGTCTTGATTGCGTGGAAGGGAATCTATTTTTCCTGGTGAGTTGCCTTTATTTTACTTCATTTTTATTTTGTTTTTTTTTTTTTTTGAGTGGGTTTCACTATGCAGTTTAGGTAGGCCTTGATCTCACTACTTTGAACCCCAGGCTCGCCCCTTCGAATTCACAGGATCCTCCTGCCTCAGCCTCAGGTGTGTGCCACCAGGCCCAGCTTCGATTTGCTTTTTAATAGATGGAGAGACATTAAATTCAGTTTTACCTTTGTGAGATAAAATCGGAACTTTTAAGTGTATTGTTAATGCTGGTATGCCAGAATTTGCGCTTCCAGCTCTTGAGAATTTTGCTTTAAAAGTAGGGAGTAGTGACCCACACTTGCATCCCAGCAGGAGGCCGAGCAGGGAGAACTGTGGGCAACATGGTGAGTTCAGGGCCAGCCTACACTACATAGAACAACCCCCTCTCAAAAAACAAAAACAGAGAATCTTATTTCAATAGTGTTTGTCAACCTTTTCTTAATTTACTAATGTAAGAACTTCACCCCTCCAGGGGGAAGGAATCTCTTTAAGGCGTTGAGTTCCTAGTTATTCCTTCTATGAAATTTTGCTGCCATATATACTGTCATAAAAAAAAAAACCCAAAACTACTGTTATTATTTGTGACCTTGTGCCCTGGAGGTCTTCTGTGTGCCAAGCTTTCTGCTTGGGGTTCAACCCAGCTGGCCTTTTGGAGGTGGAGTAAAGGAAAGGGAGTCCCTGCTGTTGGAATCTAGATGGTGTTAGAGGTGTGGTGACAAGGGCTGGGTTTAGAGAAGCCCAAGGGAAAGTTCCCTTGCCTTGCTGTTAAATGCTAAGCTGAGAAGGAACACAGAACTGTGTTCTAGAAAAAGTACTGTGGCTGTGTGAAGGATTTATTATTAGAAAGGTGGACATGACTGGTGGGCTTGGAGCTGGGCTCTACCTGTGTAATCTCTGGTGCTTGTAATCCTTGCTGCTCGCTCTGCTAAAACAAGGTTGGTAGTTTATACCCCTAACCAGTTCTAGGGAAGATTTGGAGTGCTTAATAAAAATACCTGCAGAGGGCTGGCCAAATAGCCCAGTGGATTCAAGTGCCTGCAAGCCAGGGGTTCAACATCTCCTCCCCCTGCCCTGGGGGTGCACGCCGAAACAGCAATTGAGTTTGGGTGTAGTGGCACGCTTGTAATCCCAGCTCTTGGGAGGCTGTAAACAGGCAGATCACTGAGTCTGATCTAGTAGTGAAAACCTGAACAGCCTGTAGACCCTTCTGTAAGATAAAAAACAAAAAAACCAAACCAAAAAAAGTGCAGAGTAATTGGTTCATTTAGTATGTAGAAAAGCGATTTTGAGTTTTGTGTGAAATGCCGTAGCTATGTCTTACTGTTCTCAGGTTAGGACTATTAATCTTTCTTTGATAATTTCATTGATTATAATTTTAGTGGGGAGAATTTGTTTATCGTGCTGTGCCCAGGGTTGTGCTTCTGTTAGGGCAGTGTTCTAGTTAGAGTTACGGTTCATTGAGTTAAGAGAGTCTGGAGAACTGAAGTAACCTTTGAGGTAGACCTTGAAAGGATGGACAAACCCCCAGAGATGGGGTGGGATGGTAGGACCTTTGCCTTCTACAAAATGTGGTGCTGTGATGGGGAAGAATCTAAGTTGAGTGACTGAAACCCAGAAGTAAAAGGACAGTTAGTTCTGCTAGAAATGGTTGGTTGTAAGCAAAAGTTGGTTCCACTGGGGTTGGTGTAGTAGGGAATAATTTTTTTGGTTTTTTTTTTTTTTAAATTTACCCTTGTTATTTTTTTTAATGTTTATTTATTTATTTTGTGTGTGTGTGTGGCCAGCTCAGCCCACCAGGGGGCGGGGCTGACTGGTATGTGGTGCTGGGGGATTGAACCGCGGTCCCTGTGTTTTGCTTAGCTTAGCTTGTTCTAAGTAGGTGCTTTAGACCACTGAGCCATCTCACCAGCCCCTGGTTCTTTTCTTTTTGAGACAGGGTCTGGTTGTACTGTTGGGGCTGGTTGGCAGCAATTTTGAACATAATGTGAATTTCAGTCTGCTGGTCACAGTTTTATCTGTGAGAGATACTAGATAAACACAGAAAATCCAGCTGTGTAGGTCACCTTTACTCACTCATAAATACCATAGTTAAACAGAAAGAGGAAAGATTGATTTTGGCCGATAGTTTCAGAGTTTCAGTCCAACATCATTCAGCCCTGTTGCTCTGGGTATATGGCAAGGCCAAATCTGGGAGAAGGTTGTGGTGGAGCCAGGTGCTTACAAGGCTGTCTACAACACATGATCTTTTAGGGGCCATTTAAGACTCGAGTAGACCATAACAGCAGCTAGGCCAAGCCACCCTTCGTACATGTGGAACATCTGTGAGCTATCATTGTAGACTTGTGTGAGAGCCATGCCTGTGAAAAGCTGATACACTATACACACACACACACACACACACACACACACACACAGAGAGAGAGAGAGAGGCAGGCAGGCTGTGGACTTTTTTAGGGCACACATCCATGAGCAAGTCTGAAGTACTGCAAACTCACAGAGATCAGAGATCTTCCAGTCACAGCCTCCCAGCAGGTGAATTCTGGGATTATAGGCTGTACCACATCTGGCTTGGGCTTTATTCTGTGGATGATGGTTGTGATCCTTTGGGAACCCTTACAGTAGTCTTAGATCTTTTGGAAAAGACTGACTTTTTGAGTTGCCTTGTGAAGGTTAACTTCTTTGGGCTCACATAATAATCATTTTTCTGCTCTCCTATCTTTTTGCCTCCTTTAGAGCATTACTAGTGTAGTAAGTACATTGTAAGACTTGTTTTTATCAATATAGTTATCTTTCCAGTTTAGAGTATGCTTTTCCTAAGTTGGTTTTCCCCCCCCTTTGGATGAACACTATACAGTTGGCCCTTCAGTTCCGTGGGTTCTATTTCTACAGGTTCAACCAACTGAGGGTGAGGAGAGATAGGAGGGCGGGGGGTTGTAGCTCAGTGCAGGAGGCCAGTCTGCCTAGGGTTCTTTTCACTGATTTAGATGAAAATTGTGATTGAGCAAAGTGCAGGTCTGCTAGTAGTCAGATGATAATGGCTAATGGTGGATGCCCATAGTGACACTGTCCGCTGCTGGTCACTGCTGCTGCTAGCTGTCACCATCTGATGCCAGCTTGTGCTTGATATAGCTCGGTGGGAAGCCTATGGGCAGTGGGCTGTTTGTATCATTGAAAACTCTAAAATCTTTACCATCATTGTTATAGGTGGATTCACCAGGCCCTGGATCTCTGCCACTAGTCCTTAGCTGCTGGCCTCTGGAGCTCTTTGGTGTTACATACAGCTCTGTTTATTTGCTCTGCCCACATTACTCAGGATAAAAATCCTAAGGACTAATCACAGGTTTCCAAGAACATCGACACGAGTCTTTACTGTAAAAGGTCCTATGTTGCTGCAGCGCAGGGGAACCGCAATGGGGGGAGCCCTCCTGGACAAAACCCTAGATGTCCTCAGGAAGCTCTCAGTGGCAACTTGCAGACTTATATGGTCAGGGTGAGGTCCAAAACCTAGGAAACCAGGGAATCTTTTGGAAGGTTGCTATGAATGTTTCATATGCAAAGGAGTCCAGGTCCCTACCTCCCTGGTCTCAGCCACTTTTGGTGCCCTCTCTAGTCCCCAGAAGACAACAGTGTGACCTGGAGGGGGAGGTGTTCACCATGCTGCCTGTCTACATTCATGTTAGAGTGGAGAATGGCACTTTGATGGTCAGGAATAACACTGAAGCAAACTCATAGCCTATTGGGGCGGGGAAGGGCACTGGCCAAGTCACACTGCCATCTTTCAGTTCAGGGAAAATTGAGTTGGGTACTTTTCTTTTTTTTTAAAGTTTATTTATTTATTTATTGTGTGTGTGGGGGGGGCCAGCTCAGCCCACCAGGGGGCGCGGCTGGCTGGCATGTGGTGCTGGGGGATCGAACTGCAGTCCCTGTACTTTGCCAAGCTTGTTCCAAGTAGGTGCTTTAGACCACTGAGCCATCTCGCCAGCCCCAGAGTTGGGTACTTTTCAAGTCTCCCCAGCAGCTAAATAAATAAATAAATAAAAATAAAAAATACACGGGATTAAAAAAGCACCTCTGTGTTGAACCAACATACTTTTTCCCTTGTCATTTATTTATTATTTTCCATTTGTATATTTGGTATAGGGTTTCACTATGCAGATGGGACTCATAGTGCTCCTCCTGTTTTCAGCCCCAGTGCTGGGATTATAGGCATGTGCCACCTTGTCCAGACTCTGTCTCTAGCTCATTGTGCCCTGGGGGTGGGGCCGGCGCCCTGCATGCCATGCAGGACCAGTGATCGAACCCTAGTCCCTGCGAATTTATTTATTTTGATTGAGACAGAGTCTTGTTGTGTGTTCTATACTAGCCTTGACCTTACTAGGTAGCCCAGAATAAGTTGGAACTAATAGCAATCTTTCTGTCTCAGCCTCCCAAGTTTTAGGAGTACAAGTGTGTACCACCACTTGTGGTTTTTTTGTCATTTATGGGGGTGAGGGACATAAAACCTTTTTTCCCCCCCTTTTAGATAGGGTCTTGTTATGTAGCCCAGATTGGCCTTGAATTTGCTGCAGTCCCCCTGCTTCAGCCTCTGGAGTGTTGCGATTACAGGTGTTCATCACTAGCTCCAAGTCTTTTTCTTTTTAATATTTTTTATTTATGGTTATGTATTACCAAATAGGTTCTCACTACACAGCTCAAACTTGTAGTGGGTTTACAGGTGTGCACCACTACGCCCAGACTTGTTTATACTTTTTATTTTATTTATTTATTTATTTATTTATTTTTTGCGGAATCGGGGATTGAACTCAGGCCCTTGCACTTGCCAGGCAAGCACTTATTCTATCGAGCTATCTCCCTGGCCCCTATACTTTTTAAACAATATAGTGTAACCAGTTGTGGTGGTACACAGCTGTGATCCCAGCACTCAGGAGCTGAGGCAGGAAGGAAGGTTTCTGGGAGTTCAGAGGCTGCTGGGTTACATAGGAAACTCAAGGCCAGCCTGAACTGTACAGAAGACTTTTGTCTAAAAAAAGAGGGCTGGTGAGAGCTCAGCAGGCTAAGCACCTGCTTTGGCAAGCACACAGACCAGGCTTCCATCCTAGGTTCTGCATGCCACACACTGAGCCTGCCACCCAGTCCAGGCACGGTAACACATGCCTGTAATCCCAGTGCTGGGGAGGCTGAAAACAGGAAGATCCAAGGCTGAAAACTGTAAGTCCAAGCTGTGTAGTGAGACCTTGTACCAAATACATCAATGAAAAAAGGTACAACTATTCATACAGTATTTACTTTGCATTAGGTGTAGGTAATCCAGGGGTAAGGTGGGGAGATACGTAGGTTAGATGCAAACCCAGCCATTTTGTCTGAGGGCCTGGGCTTTGTGTGAATGTGGTATCTGCAGGAGGCTGGGCTCCCCAAGTGTGCTAAAGAATGGACCATCTGACCTCAGAAGTAGCTCCTGTCCCAGATGAAGTGGCCTGTGGGTGCTGGAATCTACAGTGAGCATTGTGCTTCTGCCTCGTTCTGCAGAGCAGCTGCGAGGTGAAGGTGAAGGGACTGAGTGTACAGGGGAAGCCTTTGTGCAGTGTCAGATGTGTGGGCTTCCTTCTGTGCCCTGCCCTGTTCTCCTTTTCTGCTGTTCTTTTCTTTGCTCTCAGGAATGCCGAGGTCCAGAATTTAGTGGCAGAGGCCAGGTTCCTTCTAACACTGCCTTCTTGCTTGCCTGTTTGTTTTGAGCCACTGTGTGCATCACAGTGATAAATCCACACACAGATGCCAGGGACACATTCTGTGTCACATTCCTGCTAGAGGGGGGAGTGTTAGCTTTGTAATGTCCGTGGTGGCTTTAACAGTGATAGATTAAGTAGACCAAAAAGCCCAAGCTTTCCTGTCTCCTGTGCAGCCAATCACCTCCCCCTGTACTCCCCGGGCCACATTCTCACCTGCCAGACCTCTTCTCCTCAGAGCATGTATAGGTGGCACCTCTCTAGCCATAGTCTCAGTCATTATCTTTCAGGGCCGGGGAGACAGCTCAGTAGAATAAGCACTTCCCTGGGAAGCACATGGTTCTGAGTTCCATCCCTGGTACTGCAAAAAAAAGAAAGAAAAGAAAAGAAAAGAAATTATCTCTCTCTTGAGACCTTGACTGGCCTGCCCTTGGGTTGTGGCTTATGATCGAAGCCCTCTTTGCCTTTGCTGTCCTCAAACACTATCCCCACCTTCCAGCTGTTTTTTGAGAAACTCTCCTGAACTGGCAGCTTGTCCAGGCAGCTGTGCTAGCTCTTTAGTGCAGTCTGGCCTTAGTCCCCAGTGTCACTCCTGTCCAAGCTTGTTGGCTGCTTCAGCTTGTCCTGAGCCCGTGTTCACTGCTGCTTTTTCCTTGAAACAAATGGGGGCTTTTGTGGTTTGTTTTCATTTTGATTTTGGTTTTGCGGTGCTGGGGATCAAATCCTGCGCCTCACACATGCTAGCCAGGTGCTCTACCATTGAGCAACAACTCCAGCCCTAAAAAATGAGGTTTTTTTGTCAACTAAGTGAAAGTCCAGGTTCTGCCAGCTATATCGTTGGCTTTTATGTTATCTTTACCAGTCTCTTTGTCTGCTTTCCCAGATTTAAAACTGCCCCCCGACATCTATTTCTTTTCTTCCTTCATTTAGTCTTTTGCTATCATTGTTGCAGAGTAGCCAGTTAGACAGTTGGCATGCATGTTTCTCTCAGAATTTTTGGAGTCCTAAATCTGGCCCTCCTGTCCATTCCCATTTAGGTCTAGCTTCTGTTGTACCCTGTTGTTTCCTTAGTGGCGAGGCTGTTGTCACCACTGCAGTTTTGCTCCAAGTTGTTACTCCTTTCATGAACACAAGCTGCTTCTGCAGGAGACTGGATAGGCATGGAGTAGAGAATACCAATGGACTGCACGCTTAGCCTCTGCACTGAGAGATATTGAAGGAAGGAGGCAAGGGTTCCTTCCTAGAAATATTGTTTTCCATGTTAAATTGATCCTGGCATCAACAATATTTTAAGAATGGGTTCTGGTATCATGCCTATGTGTGCACCTGGACTCTACTGTTTATTCATTGTGGGCTTGGGGCAAGTTCCTTCATTCTTGATCATCCTCCTAGAATTGGAATAAATGGGGGAGGAGAGGCTCAGTCCAGCTGGCTTTGTAGGGATCTAGGAAGTGTCAGAGAATGAATACCTTCCAAGTGTGGGGAGGATTCTGTACACCAGGCTGCTCCCTCAGTGGCAAATTTGAAAACCTAAATGGGATGAGTAAGAGGCTTATGGGATAGCCAACGTGTGAGCATCGAATTTTCCATTGCTTAGCAGATTAATCTGTTCCTTCCCCTCTGACAAGACCATTTTGTTAGATTCTTATTTCTGGATGGTTGTTGTTTTACTTTATTCTTTTTATTGTTGTTCTTGGGGTTGGTTTGGTTTAGTTTTAAGGCATGATGTAACTTATGTAGCCCAAGCTGGTGGTAAACTCGTACAGTAGCCCAGGCTGGTAGATTCTCCTGCCTCAGCCTCCCATTGGGATCACAAGCATGCACCACCATGTTCTACTTGTTTCATCTTAATGGATTGTTTAGGTGGATAATTTTTCAGGGGAAAAGCCTGCATCGTATAAGTGCAGCCACATGTAAGGTACTTACTGGGACCAGAAACAAATGCATGTTAGGTCCCAGGAATTACGGTGATTCTGCGACTATGCTGTGATCCGAATGATTTTGGGAGTTCTGAGGCTGTTTAGGAAGCTTCCTTGGGTGCTGGGGGAGAGTGCTTGCCCTGCTCTTCTGGAGGGTAACTGGAGTTATGTGATGAGCCTGAAGTGCTGGGGAATTGGCATGGTCAGATATGGCAGTTTTTGACCAATCTTAGCAGTTATCGGGGTGCTTTTGCCTAAGGTTGTAGTAGCAAGAAGGGGTGGTGTGGGCTGAGGTTGTGGCTCATTGATAGAGCACTCAAGGCACTGAATTCAGTCCCCTGAACACAGTTGAGCAGGGGATGTGCAGTGGCTCTGATGCAGACTTTGGGATCAGGCAGTCCTGAAGATGTAAACTGCGTGAAGTGTTCGACAGAGCACCCAGATGACAGAGAAGACTGGTAAATTATTGAACTGAACTTTATTATCAACAGTGCAGGTGCCAGCATTTATCAAGTTGGTATCTCTGTTTTTTCAGGACTTCAAGATACTGGAGACTTGCCTGGCTCCAAATTCTTTGTAAGATGGAAGATGAGTGATCAGTGGGCGTGAGAGGCTGAGAACATTCACCTTTGCTACAAACCTTGGTGTAGGTCACTTTTCTGTAGGTTGGAGCCAGAGCACAATGAGTACAGTAAGTTTTACCACCTTGTGAATTTTATTCTCAGGGCTAAGCAGCTACCTTGTTACTTGCAGTATGTTGAAGTGTGGACCATAAGGGGCTTCTGGGTGACCCTGGTTCTAGACAGAAAGTGTGCTTCTGTTAGTTACACCAGCCTGCTATCCCCAGCTGAGGTTCAGGTGCTGAAAGTAGCACCCAGCTCAGGCTGAGGAGGAGCCCTAGGGGTGGGTTAGAGTCCCATAGTGACAGCTTGTGAGCAGGTGTCCATGCCCTGGAAATATGAAGGCTTTGGTGCTTTTTAGGTACTTGTACTGCAGTTTTCCCTTTTCCCTGTGTGTTTTACCTGTCTTTACCCTGAGCCTGCAGGCAATACACTGCTGAGAGGCTCACAATGACCAGTGACCAGGATGTCTTGTAACTGCTGTTTAAGCTGTCATCACACCCTGAACCAACTGCATTTTGGCGTAACCCCTTGTCCCCTAAAGCCCTTGAGCTCTAGAGCAGATCCTTTCAGTGCCCTGCTGTGTCTGTTGACAGAAACCACTCTTGAAGGTTGCTCTTCTGCTCTAAACTTACAACAGACTAAATTCCTTGTCTGGTGGCACAGAGATGCTACTGGTGTTTTGAGGGTTGGGGAGGAGGGAGTGGCAAGGGGCTCCTGCAGGTTTCCCATGCCCTTTGACTCCTGTGGATCCTCTGTTCCATCTGTTCCTGACTACTTCTGGCCAGCATGAACCTACATACCCACCGTTGCTATTTGTACAGTGGCCTCTGTATCTCTGGAACTGCCCCTCTTCCCTGTTGGCCTGCTGCCTGGGATTGCTGCCCTTACTCACTTGCAGGGAATAGATGTTCTCAGCCTCCCCTCAGGAAGCATAGAGGCTGTCCCTAAGGATAGAGGTTACCTTTGAGTTGTTCTTGAAAGCTGACAGTGGAATTTAGCTATATGGCTTGAAGATCTGTGCCCTGAAGCAAAGAACTGTTCCCTTTCTCAGAAGTGCTATGTCTGTCCACTGTGCCCCCCTCAAAACAAACAAACAAAAACCACAACTGGATTGAACCTAGGACCTTGGAAATGCTGGCAGGTAGTCTACCATTGAAGGACATTTCCCCAGCCATCCCCTTGGCTTTTGTTTCATAGTCCTGAGGATTGGGCCCAGAGCTTTTGTATTGAGCTACAGCCTCAGGCTTTTTTCACTTTTTGTGACAGGGTCCTGCTAAATTGCCCAGGTTGGGGGTCACACTTGGAATTCTGCTTCAACCTTCTGAATCTCTTGAGATTCCAAGCAGCTATCGTTTCCCTTGGCAGTTTACACACACACATACACCCCCACACACACCCCCACACACACCCATCCATCCCATGGCTCTGTGCCCTTAGGTCCTTGGGAAGGTGCAAAGTGCAGGTCCAATTCTAAAGGTGAGTTTACTGCAGGAGGAATTAGGTTTCTCTCTGCTGCCTGGGAGTAGGGCTGGTGGCAGATGTTCTCAGTCTTATGTGACTCTCCCCTTAGTGCCCAGGCCTGTCCTGGTGTCAGCACATGTGGTCCTGTAGCAGCTCTGCGAGGCTGGGGCTGGTGAAGAACTCTGCTTTGGAATATATGTCTATCTCAGGTTCCCAAAGTAGGGGCGAGCAGGACAGAGGAGAGTTGAGCACTGGAGCACTGCATAGCATAAAGATTGATGGCTTAATATAAACATTTTTATCTGGAGTTCCAGTTCACTGTGTTTTGGATGATTTGTCTCAGCATTCAGTGTATGCCTTTTAAAAGGATCTCAGCTTCGGTGCTGGCTTTGTACTCTTTGGTTGAACCATTCCCATGTTGACCTCTTTATTCTTTTTCCTTTGCCATCCTCAGAGAAAGCGGCGTGGTGGAACAGTAAGTTCTAGACAAGCCCAGAAGCGAACTCGGGAAGCAGGCTCCACCCCCGAGATTGCCATGGATCCAGAACCCATAGAACTTGAGGAAACGGGTAAGACTGCCAGGGACACTAGACACAGGTTGTGGGGGCACATGACAATGTGCACACTAGCCTAGTCAGCACTGTGTAGCTGCCTGCACACCAGCTTCCTTGTGTGTGTTCTGTGCTGTGTGAGCCTGTTTTCTTCTCTGAAGGGAGGTGATGGGAGCACCTGTAGCATAATGTTGTCATAGGTCAGAATACAGTGCTGCAGACAGTGCTAGGCAGATGGGCCACAGAGCCAGCCGTTAGAAGTACCTGTCAGTATCGTCACACAGCCAATGCAGGGTTGTTTACACACTGTCACATCTTAAGTTTATGTCTTTGCTGCCCTAGGGGCTTCATGGGTTTAAAAAAGCAGCTGGTCCAGCCCTTCAGCCTTCCCCCTCCCCACCAAGGCAGCCAGGGAGGGGAGACTGCCCTGATCTCCTCTATGTAAAAGTACCTCCATATGTTCACTTTGTAAAGTACTTGACGTTTCTCTTCTGCTTGTTAATACTAAAACTCCCAGGACAGTAGACTGGTGTCCAATTTGGTGTAGGCAGAGGCTACATTGGGTTTTCCCTTCTGCCTGGCCCAAGTCATGTCCTTTGTTCTGTGCATAGTAAGGTAGTTTTTGTAACTATAATGCCAGGGAACTAACGGTTTAAAGAAAGGCAGCTGGATGGCTCTCATTTAGTGCGTACGCGAGACCTGGGCTCCATCGCCAGCATCACAAACAAAAGATGAAGAAGGTGTGCAGGGTGCGTATACCAGGGAGCAGGAACCTTGGGACCATCTTAGAATGAAAGCAAAGCAGCTTCAGAGCTTCTTGTGAGATACGTCTCGTGGAGCTCTCTCTCCTCTGCTTGCTGGGCAGGGCTTTATGTCATTTCTCACAGTAAATTCTCACAGTTCTTCACTTCTTTGCCTAGATCCTGGTCCTTGACCCCCATAGCTGATGCTGTCCCCATTTGGGTCATGGTCTTGTGAAGGACTTAGCAGCCTGCTTTTCTATGTGGCACTTGACCTGTGGGCAGTTTTCCATGAAGCAAGGCAGTGGAGCTGGCTGCAGGAGCGCTGCCTTGGTCAGGGCAGACTTATGTCCACCAGACTGAATGGCTTGACCAGAGTCTTTGCACTGAGCCATTTCCCCAGCCCTCTTTTATTTTTTATTTCAAGGCAGGATGGGTTAATTTTAAGTGAACGTATGGCTCACCCTGGGCTCAAACTTGTTTTCCTCCTATCTCAGTGCTCAGATTACTGTGATTATATAAACAATTTTTTTTGGACTGGGAATCAAACTCGGGACCTTGTGGTTGCTGGACAGGCCTTTGTGTCACTGAGCAGTCTCCCCAGCAGTAGACTACTGATTATAAACACATACTTCTGCCACTACCTGCTCTTTTTTTTTGCTCCGAATACCTTCAGGGCAGGTTTGGCTGGCTTGAGTTGTGGGGATCGAACCATAGCAACTTGAGCCTGACTGCTTTGTTGAAGCAGCCACTTAAAGAACTGAGCTAAGGGGCAGGCCCCCAACTACCTGCTCTTAAACATTAGATACAGATGTACCTCATTTAATGACCAAACCTGTTTCTGACAGGGTAGATAATGGTTGCTGGATGGGATAATTCTGTATAGTAATGTACATCACAAGAATCAGAATGAAGATGGTCAACAGGAACTCCAATGTAGTGGATATGATTTGATTTACATGACTCTTCCATGCAGTGCTGTGATGTAAAACCACAGTGGTATACTGTACAGCACAATCAGAAGTCAGCACTGTATAAGCGGGGTACTGTGCAACAGAAGACATTGAGGCTTTGTCAGTAAGACACACAGAAACGTACAAAGGAAAAACTTCAAATCATAAGTCCAACAGTCATTAAACTAGGCAGTAGAACCTTAAAAAAGTACTGATAATACTGGGCATGGTGGCACATACCTGTAATCCTAGCACTCGGAAAGCTGAAAAGAGGAAGATCACTGAGTCTGATCTGTGTGATGAGACCCTGTAGACCCTGTAGTAGATACATTTTTAAACAAAAGTACCTGAGCATGAAAATGGAAGTAAGGGCCGGGGAGATGGCTCAGTGGAATAAGTGCTTCCCTGGCAAACGCAAGGGCCTGAGTTCAATTCCTGGTTCCACAAAAAAAAGAAAGGTACTGCCCTTGACATAGTCTTATTTCCATTTTTTCTTTTTTTTTTTGTGGAACTGGGGATTGAACTCAGGCCCTTGCGCTTGCCAGGGTAGCGCTTATTCCATTGAGCCCTTTCTCCGGCCCTTAAAAAGAAAAAATGGAAGTAAGACTATATCAAGGGCAGTGCAAATCATTTTCCCTAAAAATGCATTTTTTGTCTTTTTGAGACAGGGCCTTGCTATGTTGTTGAGGCTGCACTTGAGCTCACTTTGTAGCCCAGACTGGTCTCACTTTCTGCAATCGTCCTACCTCAGCCTCCCCAGGGCTGGAATTACAGGTGTGCCCCACCATGTTTGGCTTCCTTAAGCAAATTTTAAATATTCTTTCTAAAAATCTTGCCAGGCATGATGGTATACACCTGTAATCCAGCTATGTGGGAGGCTGAGGCAGCGAAAATCACATGTTTGAGGGTAGACTATACAATTTAGTGAGACCCAGTTTTCAAAAATAAATATGTTTAAGAATCTTTAACATGCTTTTTTCCTCTCCAGTTTATATAAACAGAAGATGCATAATGCCCTTGTTGCCATGTGGCAGACATAAGTGCCACTGTCTGGTCTTATGTCCTTCCCACCCTCAGTATATACAGAGGTCAGGAGGCAGCTGTGACATCAGCCTAGCCTGTTGTGACATGTCAGGATTCTAGGGCATGCATGGTATATGTCACCTGTGCTCTGTGTGAATGATGGGTACTGCAGAGGTCAGTGGAGCTGACCTGTCTGTTAGAACCCTTACCTGTAGGGATCCATTGGTCGTGCTGTGAATGGTTCTACCCCGGGGAGACATGATGGCAGGAATGAGAAAGATGAGAAGACGGAAGCTGGGCTAGGTGGTTGCTAGCCTGCCTGCCTGATGGGCAAGACTTAACTCAGTGCACAACAAAGCTGTCCTTTATTTATACTTTTGCACAGTTTGTAACACGTGACACTAGGTTGCCTAGTGACTAATAGCTGGGCTGAACCAGACAGGACATTTTCCTCAGGACTGAGGCAGCTTGTTTGCTTAGGCCCTGAGGCCCAGTCCCACCTGCACACTGGATCAGTCTCCTAGCGTGGTGTAGTGCCCCACACTTACCCCACAGAATTGCTGCTTAAGGCATGGCCGTGTGGAAGGGTGGTGTAGTGGGTAGTGGTACCCCGCTGCCCCTTTGGGCTGAATGCTGGAAGCACCTTTTTTGGTTTTGATTCTCCTGTCTCATTGTGGGTCAGGAGTTTTTAGTTGGGGGACCGAGCTTGTCTCACACGAAGGTCATATCCCCCAGGTCAGAGGATTGCGTGTGCCCACCCATTGCTAATCCTTGCTAACGTGCTTTATTTTAAAGCAGGTGATGAAATCGTGGACCTCACTTGTGAATCGTTAGAGCCTGTGGTCGTCGACCTGACTCACAATGACTCTGTTGTGGTAAGTGTTTACATGGGACAGTTGGCAGGCTTCAAGGTGTGGTTCCTTGGCATTCGAAGACCTGGGGCACAGAATACAGGTCAAGGTTACCCAGACATGGCTGACTGGGACCTAGCATGAAAAAGGGCTCAGATGGTGTTGCCAAGGAAGTAGGTGGTGTGATCCTGATCCTTCCATGGCGGAGTGCAGAAGTGGTTTGGGGAACTCCCGAGGCCCTCACATGTCCTCCATCCCTGCGAGCACAGTGTGTCCCAGCTATATGACCTGGGCACATAACTTAGCCTGTGTGGTTTTCTCCTCTGAAGTACATTGGGGCTGGGTGGCTGTGTCTGTACGAGCCTGGAGGGTGAGTGTTTGTCACCTGGCATGTCCCTGCTCAGTGAGTTTCTGCCCTCCCATCTGCAGGGAATGGACGGATTTGTTCCACACAGCCACGTGGCAGCCTGTGAGGTGCTGAACACAGTTGCCATTAAACCTGGCCGGGGAGGAATGCTCCCTGTCTTACCACCTGGGGCCCAGGTAGTCCAGGGAGAATGGTGCCCGCCAACCCTTGTCCCCTTCCTGCAGAACCACAGAAGGATCTGGCGGAGAGTGTGCCATGAGGGGCCTGGTCCTGTTGTTAAGCAGCGGCTCTGGTGGACCTGCTTTGTGGAGCTAGGGATCTAGACACCACTGGACAGTGTCAACCAGGCATGTGGTAGGGGACGCCTAGGTCTGTGTGACACAGGAGCAGAAGCTTCTTGCTGAGTTGTCCCCTTGACCCTCGAGCACAGTGTTGGTTTTACTGTGAGAGAATGACAGTGGGTGTCAGAACATGGAAAAGCCATTGGCTTTGCTTTCTTTCCTGGCTTGCTTAGAACTTCAGAGCCGGTTCACTAAGTGAGAAGCCTCAGCCTTGGTGAGGACAGGGATCTGTGGTGACAGATGTGGCAGCTGGTTTTGGTTAGAAACCACTGGTCTGGGGGCCTGCCCATTAGCTCAGTTGTTTAAGAGCCTGCTTAAACAAAGCAGTCAGGCTCAGATGCTGTGGTTCGAACCACGCCAAACCAGAGATGCCCTGAAGGCATCTTGAGGCCGCCAGCAAAAAAAAAAGAAAGAAAAAAAGAAACCACTGGTGTGTTCTTGTCATCCTTAACACCTCACAAAGGCAGGTGTGACCCTCTGGTTGTTGGGAGATGGGCAGCTGCCAACAGAGGCCTGTGCATTTGTTTCCTGAGGGTGTCTGCATGTCAAACCTTGCTGGCATTCCTCCTGCCACTCTCTTGTGCCTTTGCATGGTTTGCTGAGACTGCTTTTACCTGTTTTACCTACCTTTGTGCTGTTCCTCGACTTGACATCTGTGAGGCTTCATTCCCAGTCAACCTAGATTCACACCTTGAGGGTTGCCTGGGGAGTGTCCTTGGGAAACCCCAGGCTGGAGTCCTGGAGCTAAGGGAGCTGCCTGGAGCATGAGTGGATGGCCAATAGGAGAGCAGGCTCTTTTTTTTTTGGTCTGTCTGTTTATCTATCTGTCTGTCTTTCTATTTCTTTATTTTTTGGTGCTGGAAATCAAATGCAGGAACTCACACTTGCCAGGCAGGCACTATGCCACTGAGCTACGTTCTCAGCCCTTTTTTGAGACAGATTTTTGCTGTGTGGCGCAGGCTAGCTTTGAACTCAGAGCAATCTTCCTGCCTCAGCCTCCCATATGCTGGGATTACAGATGTGCACCACTATGCTTTGTTGATTTTCATAAATCCAGATGTTAATTTAATGAAGTACCCTGTGTCTGAAATTTTGCTTCTTTAAGCACAACTGGTAGGGAAGCCTGACAGCATTAACTAGATGAATTGTGTTCAAGGTAGCTAGATGCTGGATCCTAAGTGTGGGAGTGGGATAAACATCATTCCCATTCCAGTATTAGGTGACCTTACCCAGTCCATGTGGGTCTTGGAATAGCCCACCCATCCTCCTTCAGCCTGAGTGTAGGGAAGGCTCCCACCCTGTATAATGCTGGGGCAGGCTTTAGGACTCCCCAGAGACCTCTTAAGACTAGGAACTAACCTCAGAGACCTCTTAAGACTAGGAACTAAAAATATACCTGGCTGTTTCTCCAGCTGTTACAGAAATCTTTTATTTATTTATTTTTGGCAGAACTGGGGATTGAACTCAGGCCCTTGCGCTTGCCAGGGAAGCACTTATTCCGTTGAGCCATTTTCCCAGCCCTTTGTCACAGAAATCTAAAGCCTCCATCGTGCTCAGGCAAATGAAAAATGTGTAAGAGTTGGTGAGACTTTGTATGTTTCTGCTTCAGTCATTTCTCTGAAAGCTAACTTTTATTTTTGGCATTGCATAACCCAGAAAGTACCATTTCAGGGTGCCAAGATATAATTATTTCTGTTTTTTACTAGATTAATGGCAAGTCATTGTTGATAGGTTGTCGGTTAATACTTGCACTAGTGTTTGAGGTCCTCCTGTTACCTCCCTCTCTGTCTCTCTCTCTCTCTCTGTCTCTCTCTCTCTGTCTCTCTCTCTCTCTCTCTCTCTCTCTCTCTCTCTCTCTCTGTGTGTGTGTGTGTGTGTGTGTGTGTGTGTGTGTGTGTGTGTTCGTTCCTTGGGATTGAACCCAGGGGCAATACATTCCTAGCCCTAGCCCTTTTTGCTTTTGAGGTAGTGGAGATTGAACCAGTGGTCTTCACACAGATCTCTATCCCTACCCCATTTTATGATTTTTATTCTGAGACAGGTTCTTGCTAAGTTGCTCAAGGTGGGCTTTAACTTGTGATCCTCCTGCCTCAGGCTCCCATAGTTCTGGGGCTCCTGGTGTGTCACACCAGGCTTTTATCTTTTAATTTTGAGACAGTTAAGTTACCCAGGCTGACTTCAATTTATTTATTTATTTTTTTGACTTCAAATTTATAGCCCTTGTGCCTCAGCTTCCTGTGGCTGGGATTGCAGATGTCCTCCATCACACTGGCCTTTTCACTGATTGCAGTTATTGTATCCTATTCTGGGTTTTTTAAATTTGTAGATCTCTGATTTAATGGGGAGGGATTGAACTCAGGCCCTTGCACTTGGCTAGGCAAGCACATAATTCCACTGAGCGAGCTCCCTGGCCCCCTGGATTGAATTCTTTCATGTTTATTAATGATTGAGTTTTCTATTTTGTAAATTGCTTGTTTGAAATTTTACAGCCTTTAGCTGAGCCTGGTGGTGCATAACTATAATTTCAGCACTCAGGAAGCTGAGGCAGGAAGGTCGCCACCAGTTTTAATTTCAAATAAATTTTAAAAGCTGTGTCATTTCAAGTCCAGCTAAGTTTCCTGAATGTTTGTCTGGTTGCCTCTAGTGTCCTGATGCATCATGCATTGTCTTGCCTGGCTTTTCGTTGAGGCATTGCTGGCAGGGCCTGCTTTAAGAGATGTCCTTGTAGGTGGGGACAGGGCCTGTATAGGACACACAGACTGTGGGCCAGCTAGCATGATGGGGCCTTGGGTCTCTTTGCCACTGGGTTCCTCTGTTAGAGTGGGTGCTGTCTCTGCTCCCTCGCTCTGTGCCTCAGGTGTGGAAATGTAGGGATTGGGCTGGGCCTCACTCCTGACTCTGCCCCAGGGGCCCCTAATTTTGGCATATTCTGCCCACGCTCGGGGCTCCAGTTACCAACTGAGTATGCTTGCTACAAGTGTTCATTTGGTTTTGCTTTTGGTTTTTGTACTGGAAATCGAACTCTTGGCCTAATGCTTGCCAGGTAGGCGCTGTACCCGAGTGACATCCCCAGCTTGCCATTTGGTTTTAGAGACTGTTTCCTGCTCTCCAGAGACAAGAAAGCTACATGGGCAGTGTCCTACAAGCCTGTGATTCTTGCACTCTAGATGGCTGATACAGGAGGATCAAATCTGAGCCCAGCCTGGGCAATTTAGCAACTTAGCAAAATCTTATCTCAAAGTAAAAAATAAGGGACAGGAGTACACGTACCAGTACCCCACAATGATTATAATCATACTGCTAGTGTGTACTGATAAAAATTAAAGTGGATATGGAAGCACACACTTGTATTCCCAACACTTGGAAGGCTAAGGCAGGAGGATCATCAGCATGAGTTGGAGGCCAGCCTAGGGGCCAAGCTGAACTATAAAATGCAACTTTGTCTCAAAGATCTATAATCGGGGGAGGTTGGGGATGTAGCTCAGTGCAGAAGCTCTAGAGACACTTTCAGTAACAGGAAAGAAAGAAAAGACAAGTGGAACAGAAGACAAAGTATACTATGTTCCCCTTAATCCTGGGTCAGTTGCCCACAGACATAACTGAATTGCTCCGGCCGAGGGGCTGGGTGCTCCCAGCCAGCATTCACAAGACTAAGGGCAGAGGGAACATGATTTAAGAGACTGGTCTGAGCTATACAGACCCTGTCTCAAAAATCGAAAACAGGGGCTGGAGAGATGGCTCAGTGGTCTAAAGCACCTACTTGGAACAAGCTTGCACAGGGACCGCGGTTCGATCCCCCAGCACCACATGCCAGCCAGCCGCGCCCCCTGGTGGGCTGAGCTGGCCACACACACACACACAATAAATAAATGTAATAAATAAAAATAAATAAATAATTAAAAAAAACATAAAAAAAAATCGAAAACATAAGGAAATAAGGAAAAACAACAGAAAAAAACAGTTGGTTCATCCAGATCAGAGGTCTCAAGCTATTTTTCTGTCTAGCTGTCAGCCATTCAGGTGGACATTAGTGGAACCCCATACACTCACCATCCCCCATCCCTGGCGAGGGACGCAGAATCCCTGGCCCTGGAGATGCCGAGCCTCCCTTCCTAAGCCCCCTTTTCTGGGCCTCTGGACAATGCTGTGTGCAGCCCAGGTTCCCGTAAATATGGTCCCCAGGTTTCCAGTCGCCCTTTTCAAGCTCTGGGAGAGGGAGATGGGCTCACATAGATTCCTTTTTCTTCTGCAAAGAGCTGGCCCTTATGTCTGGAGCACCAGGGTTTAGCTATCAGGAGCTGAACCTGCTCTGGGGATGCTCAAGCCCCAGAGGGGTGGAGGGGTTTGGGGGTGGATATATGTGGCAGTAGAGGCCTAAAAGAGCCTGCTGTGGGCCAGAGCTTGGGAGCTGGGATCTGTCCCTGTCCCTGTCCCTGCATGGATGCCCTTGGCAGAAGGAGACACTGCTGCTGCACAGCGTTGGTGTCTTCAGTGTTTTCAGTGCTACAGATAGCCTGCTGGAGGCAGGGTTTAAGGGCTGGCTGTGCCTTGTGGTAGCATGACTTGACAGGAGCAACCACTACAAGGGTGTCAGGTGGTGTTAGGCCTTCCTGTCACTGCAGGGTGGGACAGTTGCTAAAATGTGCCTGCTCTGTGGTGGCCAAGACAGACAGACATAGACCATCCAGCTGAGCAAAAGTTAGCAGTGCTCTGGTACACACTGTTGTGGTAGAAACTGTCTTCATGTGCCTTCTGAGCCCTGGGCAAGGGATTGTGGTGTCTGTGTCAGCCCTGGGGTGTCACTTCCTAGTCCACACCTGGCCTGCTTTTGTTTTAGCTTTGTGTTTGTTTGCTTTTGCAGTACCAGGGATTGAACTGAGGACCTTGCCCTTGCCAGGCAAGCGCTTATTCTTCTGAGCTATCTCCCTGGTCCTTGTTTAGCTTGTGGATAAGCATGTGTGCAGCAAATCCTCTAGGTGAAGGCTCCCTCTTTGGCAGTGCTTGGCATTACTAAGCTCATGGCTTCTGCTTTTGAGAATGGGAAACTTAACTTCCAGGTCATAGGTCACCTCAGGTCACAATGAGGGCCTGGTGTGGCTGTGCTCAGGCCCCAGACAGTGCTGGCCTCTGGTGTCAGCTTCTAGGAGGAAGGTGAGGGGGTAGGGATGGTGGGGGGAGGTGACCAGGTGGGCAAGGGTTCTCTAGAGGGTCTCATGTTAAGAATTTTAAATGTCTGTTACTGAAGTCAAACTGATTGCTTTTTTTTTTTTTTTTTTTTTCCTTTTCCAAAGATTGTTGAAGGTGAGTAGTTTCATCATTCTATCTAGATTTGGAAAGAACGGTGTGGGTGGGCCATCTTCAAGGGTGAGAAAACCTGGGCAGAAGGTGTCCCCCATCAGTTGCTGGGGTCTGTTGATCCCTTGGACCTTCTGAAGAGCGCCATTTCTCTGTTATGTGAGCTGTTGCACACTGAGGCCCCTGGGTGACAAGAGACAGATGGCAGTGCCTGCTGGCGGGGGCAACAACAGGAAGATGAGAGACCTCAGGCGGGTGCACTTTCTCAGGTGGTGCTCGAGGGACAGAAGTCTCTGGTGCCTCCCAGGGAGGGGGTCTCAACAGGCTCAGGGCAGGGTGTGGAGAGTGGGAGTGTCCCCTGAAAGTTGACTTTCATCTTAGAGAGAAGGCGACCAAGGAGGACCATGAGGAGCCAGCGCCAGGACCACGCAGACAGCTGCGTGGTAAGCAGTGATGACGAGGAGCTGTCCAGGGACAGGGATGTGTATGTCACCACCCATGCTCCCCGAAGTGCCAGGGATGAGGGCGCCACAGGACTGAGGTACCACCTACCCCCTGCATTGTTTTGTTGGGGTGGGAGGCCAGGAGCTGGTGTTGTGGGGCCATGGCTAACTGGACCAAGCTGATTCCAGGGACCAGGGCAGGCAGAGCACCTTCTCCCCGCATTCTGCTTATGATGATGAGCTAGTCAGGCTGGGGGTGCTCTTGTAAGAGGCAGGTAGGGCAATTGAGTGTTGTGTTTGCTGAAAAACTGATATAAAGCACTGTGGTTTTAGGCCCTCCGGCACTGTCAGCTGTCCCATCTGCATGGATGGATACTCAGAGGTGAGTGACCTGGCTCGGCTTCCGCTTCCAGCCGAGCACCTCCCTGGAAGGACTAGAGGAGCTGGGCTCTGTGCTTTTGAGGAACCCTGTCTGGGTGATGCCTGTGTGGCCTGGCTTTCTGAAGATCTGTGTGCAGAGCATACACCAATTTTTTTTTATTTTTTTTTTTTAAACATTTTATTTATTTATGTATGTGTGTGCATGGCCAGCTCAGCCCACCAGGGGGCGGGCTGGCTGGCATGTGGTGCTGGGGATTGAACCGCGGTCCCTGTACTCTGCCAAGCTTGCTCTAAGTAGGTGCTTTAGACCACTGAGCCATCTCACCAGCCCCCAGCATACACCAATTGCTCTGCGTCCTGCAGGCTTTAGCTTCTGGTGCTCAGTGGTAGGCAGCCTTCCGGGTCCCCTGTCCTGGCCCCAAGCACAGGCTGCTAGTGTCCACTAAGGTCACTTGTCACCCTTTTAGGTGGCTCCTGCTGGAGACTGGGTTTCTCTTGTGCCCTGGCCTGTCCTTCCCTGCTCATTTCAGTGTTAATGGGAGGACACATTCGAAGGCTGTTTTCCTGTCTCCTAGATTGTGCAGAATGGACGGCTCATCGTCTCTACGGAGTGCGGCCATGTCTTCTGTAGCCAGTGCCTCCGCGACTCCCTGAAGAATGCTAACACTTGCCCAACTTGTAGGAAGAAGATCAGCCACAAACGGTACCACCCCATTTATATATGAAGAGCTCTGAGCCTCCTGGGAGAGCCAGATGGACAGACAGCCTGGCTGGGCTTTCTGCATGCTCTCGGACTCCAGTTTCCTGAGTGAAGCAAGACTTTCAAAGCCAACATCTGATATGTAGACTGCTCTTTTCTTCCCCATCCTCTTAGATCCTTTTGTTATCTCAAGTTTGATGCTATGGAGCTGCACCCAAGGGTGCTCCAGGTTCGGCTTTTCACTTCTGCTCCCCTCCGGTATCCTGGTCCCACAGTAGGAGCAAGGGGAGTCAAGCACAGTAGAGCTTGAAGACTAGGCTCCAGCCTTTGCAGTCTGCTCCTATGCCAAGAAGTTTCCCTGTTGGAAGGTGCATCCAGCTGTCCCTGGAGCACAGCCCTCGCAGGAGCCTGGCAGTTGCCCCATCTCGTCTGCCTGCCACCCAGTGTTTGAGCCAGACCTGGCCCACTTGGCCCAAGGATCCTGGTGCAGGGGCAGCCCCTGAACTTTCCTTTCCTTGGAGTCAGAGGCGACCTGAAACGCTGCCTGTACCTTACCATTGATGTGCAGTATTCTCTGCAAACCTCAAGGACCTCTGCAGGGCAATCCCTGTTTCCTAAGAACGAAAAGTGCAATAAAGCCCGTTCTCACCCATGTCTCAGCAGTCAGGTGGCAGTGCCGCTGCCTCAGAGTCCTTGAGCCGTCTGTGGAGCAGTGCCCATCTGCCTGCCTCTGCACGTCAGACCTTCTCAGGAACCTTCCCATGCTCCAAAGTTCCCCACCTGGCACAGGACACGTGCGGGGAGCAGGCATGTGCGTGCCTGGGTGTCGTCCTGTCTGATGAGAGCTGTCCTGCGCCGGCCACTGGCCCCCTGGCCCCCTGGTCCTCCGTTCCCACTGCCTGCTATCTGCTTCGGTAGATACAGGGATGGTGGCAGCAATTGTGGCCTTATAGCCGCTCATTTCCATGTCTCTTCCCCCCAGGCCAGTGTCTCTTCAGCCTTGACATTGGCTTGTCCCTCTCTCCCACTGGGTGACACTTATTTCCAAAGCTGCTCTTCACCTGCTCCATAGGTTTTTGGTTGGCAAGCCTGGTACCTGTCCCTCCCACAGAGCCCAGCTAACAGCCTCTGCTCAACCCACAGGCATGTGACATCTTGGGGTCTCTATAAAGAGCAGCAAGGTGACCTGAACTGGCTGTGCGGGCAGGCACCAGAACGAGGGGCCAGGGAAAGTGGTCTAGCTGGCCAACCTGCTCCCACTACACTTCCGTCCTCAGAGCTTCAAGCCAAGCCAGTAGCTATTGATGTGACACATCTTTGAGGTGGAGAAGGGCCGCTCTGGCTTTGCTAGCAATAACCGACCTTCAGGCCCCTCTGAAGAAGCAGGGACTGAGCACAGAATTCACTTTAGTTGGGGCTGAAGGAGCGTCCTTTGAACGGAAAGTGGTTAATTTTTCATTGTCTTTTTTTAAAAAAACTGTTTGGCTGACTACCTGTTCATTTGAATGAGTACGAATTTTCTCCATGAAGTGGGAGAAGGGTGGAATGCCAGCCCCCACCATTGTGGTGTAGTGGGCCAGCCCTCCACTTGGTCATCGTGGTCATGGCCACCGAGTCCCCTTTGGTCATCAGCAAGATGCTCTTGTCCTTCCTGATGTTGCCCAGAGGAAGGGCCAGACAACCATGCAGCTGTTGACCAGGAAATGTGACATCCATTTCAAATTCTTTGTTTCCTCTTGGCATACATGGTTGATTATAAAATTGTATTTATACTAAATTGAATAGGGAAAATTGTATTGGTTTCTACTCATCAAAAACTGCAAACTAGGAAAAGGCTGTGTAAAGAAAATCCCTTTCCTCAGTGTACATAGTTCAATTCTTCGTTATGTTTAAACTATACATGGACAACAGTCTTTTTGACTCTTGCTAGTGTTAAAGATGGAAATAAAATCATTAATTTGAACCAAGTGTCTGTTTTGTGTGTTGATTGGCTCTTCAGGTGGTGATAGACCAGATAGCGGAGTGTGATTCCCATGCTCCTAGGTGGGGAACCCAGGGCCAGACCACCCGTGGGAATGGTACAGGTGGCAGAGCACTCTGGAGGGGCAGCTGGCAGAGCCGGGGGTTGGAGACTGGTGCTCCCAAGTGCCCATGGTGAGTGCTACCAGGAACGAGTGCAACTGCGTGCTCAAACCCTAGCCAACTTGCTTCCCTCCTGGACTGCAGAAAAGCAAAGCTGGTGCTGCGAGGCTTCCAGGAGCTGCTGTAAGACTTGGGCACCTGCGGGGGGTGCCCAAGGAAGGCATCTGAGCCAGCGGTGGCCACGTCCCAGAGCTGGTCTATAAGAAGACAGCAGAGGCCTCCAGCCTGGCAGAAATTCTCAGCCTCAGTGAGGTGCCCTGGTCTTCAGGCCTGAGGACTGGGGACCATAGGCACCTAGGAGTGTCCTCAGCCTGGTGGTGCCAGCCTCACTACACAGCAGCTCCTGGTTCGTACTCTGGAAGCTGTCACGTGAGGTCTTCCCTACATTTCTGTTGATGATGTAATACAGGAACGGCTGATTTTGCACATAAGACCTCACAGTCCACCAAATTCTTGTGGTCCAACTAATTATTTACCATTCATGTGTGCATGCCGCACACCCTGACTCAGTGCTCTAGGAGGCTGAGGCAAGGATGCTTGGAAGTTTGAGCCCAGCCTGGATAATTTAGTGAGACCCTGTCTCAAAAATTTAAAAAGTTGGGCCAGCCAAATAGCTCAGGGAATTAAAGCACCTGCAAGCAGGCACAGGGGCCTGGTGTTCAATCTCCCGGGTCTGCCGTGCCAGCCTCGCCCCGAGTGTGCTAAAAGCAATTGAGACTGGGCCTGGTGCAGCTCTTGGGAAGCTGTAAACGGGGAGGTCACTATGAGTCTGAGCTAGTAGTGAGACCCTGAACACCCTGTTGACTGTTCCTAAAAATACAAAAATAAATAAATAAAAAAGTTACAAGAGACATGCTGTTTAATCCCCAGTGCTACAGAGATGCTTTACACACACTATAATGGCAAATGAGATCAAAGCATTCAAAAACCTCCCAGCACTTGGAAGGCTGAGGCAGCTCAAGGTCAGTGTGAACTATATAGACCTTGTCTCAAAAAAGAAACAAAATGTTGAGGTTATACCTCAGTGCTACAGTAACTGTCTGGCAAATGCTAACAAGGAATTAATGCTAATCTTTGCAAACTTCTTAAATACTCAATTCTAGAAGGTTAGAGCACACTAAGCCGTTGTACACCACAACCAGGAATGCAAAGGTGACCAGAATACAAACTTTATGTTAGTACAATGAAAGTGAATAAAAGTGGGAAAGACTTTTGATGAAATTTACTGCTTATTCCTTTAAAAAACAAGTGCCTGTGAGCCCCATGCTAAACAGTCAAATTTGAGCTCAGTGTGGGCAATTTATCAAGACTGGCTTAAAAAAAAGAGAAAGAGGGTTGGGGAGATGTCTCAGTGGAATAAGCAATTTCCTGGCAAGCACAAGGGCCTGCGTTCAA